TAACCCTTGAGGGCAGTCTCTTCTTATACCGTGCAAAGAGCTGTTAATGTGGCAAGCTTAACCCATCCTTGCCGGTCTGGGAAATTCGATCTTAGGAGACGTAAATGACACGTCAGAGAAATTATAGGCTTGTAGCATCTTGACAATGAGCGACTGAGGGAGGGAGTCAAATGCTTTGCTAACATCCTATGTGTTGAAATGGATGAGAATTTGAAACGAGAGCAGGGATAAAAACCAATCTGCCGTCGTTAGCTATGTAAGGTTAGCTTATTGTATTGATTTCCTGATCGACCACGGTGGTAACTTCTAAAATGTGCTTGCAATTCCAGCTTTAACCACGGGGTGCTTAATTAGATTATTTCGTGACGTAAATGACGATGTTGTGATTTTCATAAAGTTCAGCTTGGTTTTTGTATCCTCGAAAGCAACACTATCTCCACTCATCATGAGCTTAACCTGAACCGATTCTGAGTTATACCGGGAGATAATGATAATTGAAAATTTGATGCAAAATGCGATATTTGGATTTTGAGACACCGTGGAAATACGTTTTTCGGGGTCCGGTACAGTATTTTGCTGGTCAGCGGCACACCTTGCGAAAACAAAAAAAATACCGGAAACTTCTTAATGGTTTTCGCCGCGAGTCTCACCTGCTTCACAAAAGTGCAAAACTTAGAAAAGATACTGCAAACTTAGCCTTAAAACTCGGCTCAACTCTAGGAAAGTTCTTGGTCTCTATTAAATAATTCGCCAAAAATTAACGGTTGCACACGATGTGAAATTGTTGTCGTTTCGTGAGGTATTAGAGAGCTTTAGATTCGAGTGCGAGAACGAGGACGAGTACGAGTTTTAACCGCGCGAGATCTGGCACTAGTATCTCGTACTCGTAGTCGTGCTGACGAAATTTGTAACTTTAGATTGTAAACAAATGTATCGATCCGAGTGCGAGGGTTTAACTGTAACAATCTCGCCATGTTTAGCCAAAAAAACTATCCCATTAGCATCCGTTTACCTCCTTTGCGATTTGTGAAATCACAACGATGAGAAGGCAACATCCTTACAAGCAGTATGAAAGGATTGACGATGTTTTTGACGCCATTTCTCCTAAAGAGTTTGCAGCCGAGCTCAGGTTTGGCATCACAGGATTGCCTCTCCTTCTTCGGGCATTAGCAATTCCAGAAATGTTTACTTGTGCCAATGGCACAGTATGTTCAAGAACGAAAGGACTGTTGATTTTATTGAAACTTTTTTCTTACCCATGTCGTCCCTCGCATATGATACCTCGCTTTGGTCGTTCATAACAATACTTTATTTCAGAACAACATGCAAATACATAATTATTAAGAAAAAGGAAACCCAGAGGTTGGACCTATATCAAGGGTCTCCTATTTATGTAAAAAATCTTACAGAACTAGTTAATAAAAATATAAAAAAGTCAAATAAGAAACAGCTAAATATCAATTATAAAATGACGATTCAATAAATATTCATATGTTTCTTCAATTTTGATTTAAACTCACGAACGTTAGGGCTGTCACAAAAATTAAATAAATTAATAGGAAGATTATTCCAGGGTTTGATAATTCTGACAAAGAAAGAATTTTTGTAACAGTTCAGTTTTGCGAGTTTGAGTTGTAGTTTATATGGGTGGTTAGATCTCGATTTAGTGTTTTTACAAAGTTCAAAATAGTCGCTGAAATTCAATCCATTTAGATTGAATACAGTTTTATAACATTCCACTAAGGAAAGGAAATCTCTCCTTTGTACTAAAGAGTTCCATTTAAGAATTTTACACCTCTCCGTATACGCCATCTCTTGTCTTCTTTGGCCTAAGGCAATTCGCGAGGCTCTTCTTTGTATCTTCTCAATTTCATCGATGTCTTTGATGAGGTGTGGTGACCACACCGGGCAGGCGTATTCCAAGATTGGACGAACCAAGGTTTTGTACAAGTTTGAAAAAATATCTTTGTTTTTACCGCCTACTGTGCGTTTAAGTAAGCCAAGAACCTTATTTGCTTTGTGAACTATTTGTTCAACATGTTTTGACCATTTCAGATCACTAGTCATAATAACTCCAAGATCTTTGTAATTAGATACATTCCTCAACACTGTACTCGATATATTGTACCGTGTGGACTTTTTGTCTNATCCCGTACCTATTGAGTTTTAAAAGTAGGCGCTCATGAGGGACACTGTCGAACGCTTTTGACAGGTCCAGAAATATTACATCAGACACTTTAGACGAATTTCTTGTTAAGCACCAGTCATTATAACAGCTTAAAAGTTGTGACACTGTCGATCGGCCTTCCAGGTATCCAAATTGGCTTGGGTTTAGTAGTTGGTGTTCCGTCCAAAATGAGACAACTCTCGATTTCACAATCTTCTCCGCCGTTTTACTGATGATAGATGTTAGCGAGACCTGGCGATAGTTTTCCTTTCTATATTTTGGTCCCTTTTTATAAATTGGAATAACGTGTGCAATTTTCCAGTCGTTGGGTAGTGAGCCGGATTGGAACGACATGTTAAATAAGTTACAAAGTGACGTAGATAGTTCCAGTGCACATTCTTTTAGGATACGAGGCGATAATTTATCAGGACCTGGGGATTTGTGTATGTTTAGGTTTTTCAGATGTTTTTCCACTTCGCTAGGTGTACATAATACATTGCACAACTTTTCATTGAGAACATGATCAAATTCCGGAAGAGACTTTTGTTCTTGTGTAAATACTGATGCAAAATATGCGTTCATATGTTGTGCAATCTCCTGATCTCCAGTAATTTCTACACTTCCATCTTTTAGGAACAATAGATCGTTAGTTCCTTTTCTTATTGAACACATGTAGTTCCAAAAAGGCTTGGAATTATTCTCTACCTGCAATTTATCTGCGAGTGCCTCAAGATGTCTCCATTTGGCTGAGTTGCATTTCTTTTTCAAAGAATTGTTCAAAGTACGATAGGCGGCCCAGTGATTTTCATTGTTGGATTTTTTTGCTTTTTTATAAAGGTGTTTCTTTTACCTGCACAATTTAATTAAATCCTTCGTAATCCATGGAGCGATGTTTTTTCTTCTATGCTGGTACTTGGGAATACTTTCGTTTACCGCTGCAAAATAAAGGTCTTTCCATGCTTCCCAGTTAGCATTTATGTCCTGTTGTTCTTTTGTAAAGTACCAGGGTGAATAACTGAACAAAGATCTTAGATGATTCCATTCTGCCTCGTTGAATGCATCAGTGCCCAAGCTGAGCTTTATCTTGAACGAGGTGATCAGCTTTATTTACAAACCATGGATACTTGCTCAGAGATCTCGATCAACCCTGGCTGAGTAGCCAACATCTGGAAGACTTTGCTCTTGCTGTCCATGGAAAGGGAACAGCTCTTGAGAATTGCTAGGGGTTTGTAGACTTGACAGTTCGCCCAATTTGTCGCTCAGGTGAGAACCAGGGTGTACCCAGTGGGCACAAAAGGGTACATGCCCTAAAGTTTCAATCATTTGTTGCGCCAAATGGTGAATAGCCAATTTGTATGGACCAGTTGGTAAGCTAATACGATTATTTGCATCGTTCTGCTGTAATGCCTCCCCTTATTTTAGCCCCCAAATTTGAAACTGAATTGAAGTGTCACCACCGTAAATCCTCGAAATAGCGCCTCCGCGAATAAGCACCCCCTTCGAATAAGTGCCTCTCCTATCGACCAAAAATTTAAAAGAAGTACCCCCCTAAAACAAGTACCCCCTCCCCTCCCCTCATTTTGTGGATGAGTACTGAGACAGCAAAGGATGCATAGTTTTCATCATGTAGTATTAGATTTGTACATTGCACTAATGGTGAGTTAAACTCTGGGATCAGTTTTTTATGTCAATAAATAGTTAATTTTGTTTATGTGTAGATGATGTTTCAAAAAAATTGGTTGTGTCAGGCCACCATTTGGGAAAAATTAAATAAGCACCCCCTCTCAATTAAGTCCCCCCCTTGAATAAGTACCCCCATTTTCTCATAAATTTGAATTAAGCTCCCTGGGTGCTAATTGATTTGAGGATCTACGGTATCTACACCTAGAGGAGTGGGCTGGAAAGATCAAATCTATCAGGAAACATTTTTGTTANATATTTTACCATACAAACTCTTCCTTAGTTTTCATTTCATAAATATAATGGTATTACTTTTTTGACAATAATTAATGAGAAGCTAATAAAATGTTTCAGTGTTCAAGGTTTTATCATAGTGTTCGGGGATTTTCTTCCAAGATATACCTCTCTGTTTTGAATCTGGTCAGTACTTGTGAGGCTCTTCAACCAGTACTTCTCTGAGAAGCATAGTTTCGTGTTTCCTTTTCAAATAAAAAGTTCTCGTTTCGCCATCGCTACGAATTGAAGAAAGTCGGGAAAGTGTCAACAAAATCACAACAATTCACTATTTATATCTCATGCATGGTTAATATTCAAAGGGTGAAAGTGCTTTTTAAGGCCCTCATTTTTCAATTTAAATTTATTCGACTGGCGATATGTTGTTTCCGTGTAAATTTATTCGACTGGCGATATGTTGTTTACGTGTGTAGATCTCAGAATTTCGTGAGAATAGGTCGGCCAAAAAGTATCAAAAACGAATGGAATCAGGGTTTGTAATAACATTCAATTCGATAAAACCTCTGTATACGGCGTTAAGTTTGTTTTTGCTGACTTAGAAAAAGACTAGGGTAAGTTTAAAATACAAAATACTCACCTTTCGAAACTCGTTCTCTGGAAGACGACTTCTGGTCAAAATCTCGTCGACGAGCCGCGGACGACGAGTTTCCCGCTCCCGTGACAGTGTCACGGAGAGCTACGCATGCGCAATGTGAGCACGTTAGTAAACTCGTACTCGTTCTCGTACTCGAATCTAAAGCTCTCTATTACTTGATCTGCGAGTCCGTAGAAACAGTGCATAGTTTTTACGGGAAGTTGTGCGCCAAGGCGAAAACCAGACGGCTAAATAGTGGCTGAGTGGTGTTCTGAGGACACCAACCCCTCAGGTTTTTAGAGCTGGTGGCTTTGGACCCAGTGAGTCGGTCTGTCAACTGCATTTCGACCGCATTCGCCGAGAGGATGACAAAACTTGCTCGTGTCCGTCGACTTGGGGGCATTCGCGGAAGTTGCACAGCCATCGTATCCCTGCACGCTTTTACAAAATTCCGGACCAAGTTGGACTGAAAAGTTCTACTTATAGACCAGGGACACGGTGGTGTAATTTGTGTAGAGCTGAGGCCCACAAAAGATTCAAAAACTGGCCTCTACTCGGGGAAGAGTTAAACGAGGTATGTATTATCATAAAATGCCTATTTAAATTGATGCTGTGCTTTTAGAGAAGGGTTGGCATGAGGAAATTTTTTTTCAGCAATAGTATTAACTTCCAACCGTTTGAAAGCTCATAATTAAGGAAACCAAGGTTGACAACAATTATCAACTGTATTTCGTTAACTTCTGATAAACAAGACTATTTCAACAGTTGACTGGTTTCTAAAAATAACTACCGTTGCGGATGTGTGATGTCAAAGTAACTGAGAGTCAGATAGACACTGTTAAACAAGAGGTATGATTGTACTCAATGTGTTATGTGAACTGCCACAGTTACACAGGCACAATTTATCTGTTTCAATGGGCCATTTTCTTTGCATGTACCTCTATTCTCACCTTCATTATAACACCATTGAAACAGGTATGTCAAGAAACAGAAGAGATGAAGCTGGTCAACAATTTACCTCTGAGGTACAGTCTTAACTGTAAACATTGTTTGGTATAATAATCAATGGTACTATGTAGATCTTAGAATTACAGCATGTTACACCATAATGAAAATACTACATGTGGTTTTGAAATAAAGAATGTTTACTAGGATAAAAAAGCCACAAACAGCTCCCTCCTTTCTGTGTCACAGCTGCAAAATCCTGATTACTGGAAGATTGTTGATTAGGACAGTTTGGTGACATGTTAGTTGGCCAGGATGGGGACATTATGCTTGAGGCATCAACTCGGAAACGCATTCAGGAGAAGTTAAATGGTAAACTAACAATCTCATCCTTTATGAAGCTCTTTTTTACGTAGAAGATACACTGTAATAGCAATAATACTACAATTTTGATTGAAACTAAATTATATTTATCTCTAACAGAACCAACATTCAAAGACCTCCTACAAACTCTAAGAAAAAAAATGGAAAAATGCTCAGATCGGCAGACTTGTAAGCCAGCCAGTTTTTAAAGAATTCATAGTATCAAATTCCCCAAAACTGTATAAGATCCACCTTGACAGTATTCTCTCTGAACGTCATGGGGAAGAAAGAGCAGACCTGCAGGAGAAAAGGGCAACAGCTGTTATATGGGAGCTATTATATTACAGGTATTTTTAGTAATAGGTCACACTGGTACTTATACATGAAATCAAATTCTAATGCAGAATACCACAGCAGACCAAGAACATTCACAGGATTTTAAATGAGTCACAATCACATGCATAATTTATTTTTACCGGAAATTACAAAACAAGACGCAATACAAAAACAATAAGTTTATGAATACAGCTTTTTTAATTAAATCTTTTAAAAAAGTAAAACAAGAAACATATTAACCTGACAGACAATCCCCTGGACACTATAAAATGAAAGACAGTTGGAAGTTACTTCAATGAAAAATGCCTGCATGTGTTACAAAGCAAAATTTTGAAGGTGGTGGGGTGGTGGTGGCAAAAATATGGACTCAAGATATTTGGGTGTAAGCCTAGCTCCTCCAACTCCACTGTGCTTCCTTTCACTTTCTTGCCTAGCATTGCTTTTAGATTTATGCATCCCGGTTCAACTATTAATGTGTTTTTCTAAGTGATCAAATGTGTAAAACCTATTTGGTCTGATAATCAGAAATCAGAGACATGGTGAATTCCTAGAGGAAAGTTCGATCTTAGAGCTGAATGGCCTCCAATCTAGTGGAATGGCTCTTGGAAAAGTGTTAGGATTTGCAAGGGATGGGAAAACTAACACCGAAAAGAGACACAGTATTGCATCTAGTCATCTGGAGAGGGCAGAATACACGGTTTGCAAAGCAATTAAAAGAGCAATTAAAATTTTTGAAAATACATGTCTACATACATATACTGTTTTATACCTGGATTTTCCTACAGAAAACTCCTACCACTGAATAATTTTATTTTCTGCTTTGGCTTAGCAGAAATCCTTTCAAATACTATGCATGGATGATTTCCACAACATGAACACAGTTAGAAAACCAACAGAGCAAATACTTACTAATGCTGTCCATATGACAACTCTTCTCATGGACATACAGTCATCTGTGGATGCAGTCCCTCCACCAGTTGACACAGCCAGCATTCACAGATGCGTAATGGTTTCATCTCCTGGAAGTCCACCCCAGCTGTGCAGAGGAGGGATATCCACCAGAGCTGTCATAACAGAGATAAAAAGATTTTGGCCTGAATTTAGTAAAAATTTCTTCCTAGAGAGCTTGGCCCGACCATACAAGGAAATTGATCTCTCTATGATGCGGCAATCTTTTAAAGAGCTAAGGCAAGACAGACAACATCTAACTATTTCACTTATAATCCAAACTGTTGCCTATAGCACGAGTGCACTTTGATGACTGAGTGTATATTTCAGCACATCAGTACATGTATAGTACTGTAGATACACCAAGTGAATCTTGAACAATCATTTATGATCATGAAGAAGAAAAAGGAAGAGACCAACAGCATCTACAATGCAAACTGGTGTAAAATTTGTGTGGCATTCTTGCTTAATGCAGTCCAGTCTTGGAAAAAGTATGGAAAGTGTAATGATTTGTGGACTTCATTGAATGCGCAGTGTCTCGTTAAGTCAGTTTTTCTGCTAAATATCTGGTTTCTAAGCTTGTGCATTTTGTTAAAAAGAGTGTCTCCTACAACGTACACAAGCTTACGTATGATGCATATCTAATACCGCATATCTAATACCGCAGTTCTGATACACAAACTTAAGTATGATGTATATCTAATACCGCAGTTCAAAATATATGAACTTCATATATTCATTGTATCTCGTACACAAGCTTGTTTCTAATTATTTAACTTTCTAACACTACTGTCTCTTCAATAACAATTTATTAACTATTACAGGGTTTATTCAAGAGAAAATCCCGAGGAATGTCAAACCTTGAAATCAACAATACTAATTGATGAGATTGAACAGACACTGCACAGTAAGGATGACTACCAGGCTTGCAACCAGTACATTTTTGATGTAATACCAGAATTCAAAGAATTCCTTAAATTACATGCGGTTTCCACTGTGGGTGACTGGCCAACATGGTACCATCAAAAAAAGATTGCTTGCCATGCTAATTTAGATCAATAAGTTATTTCCCTAATCCCTGAGTTGGGACAGTTTCATGTATATTTGAACAGTTCAGAAGATGTAGTAAAGCAGTACTATCCCGTTTTCAAAGAGATCTATGCATCAGTGTTTGGTCAGAGGATTAGATTACCTGAAAAGCCCAAGCCAGACAAAGTGGCACTGTGCATTGTGCTAGCATTTTGTGGTTGGCTGAGAATCCGCACACAAGTAATTCAAGCATTTGGACAATGCAAGGACACTGATTACAGTTGTCTCTTACATCTTTTTTAAGAGCTCAACCCTCTGTGTTTTCTGCATTATCCTGTAATTGTGAGAAGTGGGCAATTTCCACAGCTTGCTTCCTCTATGAAGCGTCTAGCCATCATGTTTGTAGCTATGGACAGACACCATTACAATAAGGCATCGCTTTCGTGGATCAGCGATGAACAATACCAACGGGAAAGCTTCCCTGCTTATCATGCTGCCAAGTCTGCTCTTTGTTCTGTTTTGAATGAGAAGAAGGTTGAGATCTTCCACTCCACTTTAAGATCAAGAATACGAAAGAGAGATGAGGGAGATAAAATCAAAGAAACTGCAAGGCTTATTGCAAGTTTTAATTTTAATTAAATTTGAGGAAGATGGATTCGAAAAGACCTATGTCCCACAATATCTAAGAGGATATAGTGACCAAGACTTGCTTGTACTTTCAGGTATGTATCAGTAGAAGATCTAAGGGGCTTCTGAGAGTTTTAATTGCTCCCCTTAATACGCCCGCTTGCATTTAACAAAAAGGAAGGCATAGATACAAGTATGTGCACAGTAGCTTCGATAAACTTACATTTATCACCAGATTGTGTTGCTGTCAATATAAAGTACACTGTTGTATATTCTTCTATCAAAAACAGGTATATGATTTTTGCACTTGACCTGTGTAATCAACAGGTTTGGCATCTGAGGGAATCCTGGCCATGTTTGATAGAGTAGCACTGAATCTAGGCAAATCTTACATGTTGCCAAGGCCACTGAAGAGAGCTGGACAGCCTTACGGCAAAGCACCATACTACCTAGCAAGTTTTCAGAAGGAATTCAGTACCAAGTCGTTACCTTTGGGATACAGCTGTCTGAGGCATGGAATAAAGGATTATTGTCAGGTATTGATAGAGATGATGGGGGAGGAGAAGTACATGATGATGATGATGATGACGACAATGGTGATGATGGTAGCAACAAATCTCCCAAGTTAGAAATGCCAAGGCAAAGGATTACAAGTATTTCAAGTCACCCCTGTTTATCGAAAATATTCAGGAAAAAGTTGAAAAGATGAGATCAGCTGTCAATGCCCAATTCATAAGTCACGAGGAATGACCAAAAGGTTGTCATTAGCTTGTAATATGGGAAGGGATAGTCCATTTCCTATTTTTTTAAAGGGAAGGGGGTAGTTGAACAGGGGTTAACCAATAAACAATTTTGCTAGTTTCAGTAATATGGTAGATTTCATTGATAAGCAATACATATCTGAGAAGTTTACTGTTGTTCCAGTGTCGAAAGAAGTAAAACCTAGCCACATCTCACGATTGCAAACGCTTCGTGTCGACAACTAAAGCTGTTGGGCAAATTAAAAAAATTTAAAAAAGGTAGTAATTACAGTTTCTAGTAAACGTACTGAAAACTTGTAATAGAGATCTTAAATCGCTTGTTAACAAAAAGGCTTCATGCAAAAAAAAATTGTAAGTGAGTCGGAGGTAATAATTATACGTTCTTATGTACTTACAAGCTTCTTCTATTCTTCTATTTACATTCTTCTATTTGCCTTGAATAGCCCGTTTCAAAAGGTGCAGAATGTCAGAAAGGTGACAGAAACAGCAAAATCCTTACCAATGCAAATAATTTCCAAACTTATCAAGCGCCAAACTTATAGGCGCAAAGCTAAGTGATCATGAATACTTTCCAAACGCGATAATGGCTCTGTCTCACCTCTATCGTTACGAACAAATTACACTTTAGATCCAACCGGTGTTCAAACTTTCTGCCTAAGTATGATACAAAACCAGCCTTCTACTTTGCTTGGATACCCTTTCGCTGCTTTAGACACTACTGAAGTCAAGGAAAGTAACACGATCGACACTTCATCAGCCGGAGTTCGCAAAAAACTGCACTTTACTCCACACAAAATTACTCCACTGAATCAGTACTCATTCAAACTTGGTTTCAGTTTCAAAAGCACATTTAGAGGATCAAATCTCACAAAAAGCTTCAAGTATCCGGGATATTTCTCACCTTAAACGCACGCAAGAGCGTATAACTTCATTGATCTCGCGAACAAATCGAAGCGCTCCTCACCTTTAGGTTGATGACCACTGACCAGTTACTGTGACGTCGCGAAAACGTATTTCTGCGGTGTCGAATTTTGAACTATTGGTGAATTTTAGAAGTGTGTGGTGAGCTGAAAATTAAATGATATAATCCCGTTTTAGACTTAAGCCCTACCTCGATCCTTCCTACACTAATCTGTTAAATTGATACGAGCTTGCTTTCTTTTGCGATTTTCATGAACTAAGCTCATTTGCTCGGGGCACTGATTTCCGCCATTTTAGGACTACTGACGCTCAGTGTAGTTTTCGTGAATTTTCTAGGATAGAGAAGCAAGTCTGGGAAAACGACCTTACCATGTTTCTAAACTCCCTATAGGGCATCTCTGTTAGGAACATGAGGATGGTCATTTCTCGGTCGATGTGCCACCTCTTACGCGGTCTTGAAAAAAAGTCGCTCTTAAGAAGACTCTGCGTTTTTCACCTTTAGGCTAAATTTCGCAGAAGCATTACATTTCACCTGGACTTACTGTTTTCTTAGAGATTTCAACGCAATCTGATGGAAAAAGTGCGTTTTTGCTTGTTTATAGATATGTTTTGCAAAAACCGGCGCCGATGAGTAAATTGCCTCTGACTGCCTGACCGACTGACTCTTTCACTGACTGACTAGTTGACAGACAGCGTTACTGATTAGCTGACTGAGTGTGTGACTGCTTGGCTGACTGATTGGCTAACTGATGGGCTTGCTGACCATTAAATTGCCTTGAATGACAACCAATTCCATCTGCTTCAAATGAGCTATGAGCTCCAATCACCCAACTGCCCCAAATGAGCCAATCAGCTCCAATGACCAAACTTCATTAGGTCACCCAACCGTCTCAAATGACTGAATTGCCTCAGATTACCCAATCAGTTACAAACTGCCCCAAAGGAATCAGTCCAATAAGGAAATCCCAACTGGCTTAATTGAGCGTACCAGCTCAAATGACAAAATTGCCTCTGAGTGGCTGACTAAATGGTTTACTGACAGCCTGACTGACTGACTGACTGGCTCACCGACATGTTGACTGACTGTTTGATTGACAGGTTGACTGACTATTTGACTGACTGGCTGTCTGCTTTTCATACGGACTGACTGTTTTGCTGACTGATTTGCTACTAAATAGTTGACTGTAGGTGGACTGACGTGCCCACCACTTGGTGGCAGAGTAGTTAACTGACTGGTTAATTGACTGGGTGACTGACTTGTTACTGACTGACTTACCGCTGACTGACTGGCTGACTGACATCTTGACTAAGTGGTTGACTGACTGGTCGACCGACTAGTCCACTGACCGGTTGACTGACTGGTCGACTGACTGGTTGAGTGACTGACCGGCTCACTGACTGCTGACTGACCTGGTGGCTGAGTAGCTAACTGACTGGTTTATTGACTAGGTGACTGACCTGTTACTGACTGACTTATCGGTAACTAACCGGCTGACTGACATGTTGACTAATTGGTTGACTGAGTGTTTTGCTGAATGACTAGTTGACTGACTACTTAACTGACGTGCTGACTGATTGGTTGACTAGCGCTTGATTAGTGATTTCTTTATAGATTTCAACGCAATTTAATGAAAAAAGTGTGTATTTGTTGGCTTCTTTGCAGAATTTTTGCAAAACCGTGTTTTTGAGTCCGATTTGAGCTAGAACAAAATGAGCGTTCTTCACTCTTGGGTCGTATTTCGCTGAAAATATTGCCTCTGACCTAGACTTACTATTTTGAAACAGATTTCAACGCATTCTAATTAAAAAAGTGCATTTCGGCTTGTATCTAGAAAAAGTTTCCAAAACCGGCGCCACTGAGTTATTTGCCTCTGACTGACTTACGGCTGACTGGATGACTGACTGGTTTATTTACTCACTGGTACTTGACCAATTCACTGACCGGTTGACTGCCTTGCGGACCAACTCTTGACTGACTGGCGAGCTTACTGACTGACTGACTGGCTAACGACGGGCTAACTGACTGGTGACTGACTGGTTAACTAACTGGTTGGTAACTGACCGACTGACTGACTGGTGGACTAACTAGTTCATTGACTAGTGACTGACTGGCTAACCGAATAGTTGACTGACTCATTGGTACCTGACCGGCTGACTGACTGGTCGATCGACTCACTGGTACCTGACTAGTTGACCGACTGACTGACTGGCGAGCTTACTGACTGACTGACTGGCTAACGACGGGCTAACTGACTGGTGACTGACTGGTTAACTAACTGGTTGGTAACTGACCGACTGACTGACTGGTGGACTAACTAGTTCATTGACTAGTGACTGACTGGCTAACCGAATAGTTGACTGACTCATTGGTACCTGACCGGCTGACTGACTGGTCGATCGACTCACTGGTATCTGACTAGTTGACTGACTTAATGACAGACTGTTGAATAACTGGCCAACTGACGGTTTGACTGACTGACTAATGATTGACTGGCTGACAGACTGGTTGACAGACTCATTGGTACTTGATCGGCTTAGTGACTTAATATCCTTTCACTGACTGACTGGCTGACTGAATGGTTGATTGAAGGGTTGACTGACTGCTTGACTGACTTGCTAACCGACCGGTGACTACCTGGGTAACTGACCGGCTGACTGACTGAGTGACTGACTGGTCGACTGACTACCTGCTACCTGACTGACTGACTGACTGATTGACTGACTGGCTGGTACCTGATCAGCTGACTAACTGCTTGACTGCCTTGCTGACCTACTGGTGAGTGACTGGCTAACTGATTAGTGACTGACTTGCTGACTGGCTGGTTGACTGACTCACTGTTACCTGTCCAGCTGCAAACCTGGTTGACTGCCATGTTAAACGACTGGTAACTCACTGGCTAACTGACTGAGATTAACTGGCTGACTGACTAGTTAACTGGTACCTCGACGGCTGACTAACTGGTTGACTGACTGGCTGACTGACTGACTGAGTTAATCGTTCCTGAATTATTGACGGGTTGACTAACTCACTGGTACCTGACCGGCTAACTGACCGACTGGTACCTGACTAGCCATCTGACTTGTTGACTGACCTGTTGACGGACTAACGACGGGCTAATTGATTGGTGACTGAGTGGTTTACTAACTAGTTGGCGCCTGAGCTTTTGACTGACTGGCTGGCTGACTGACTCAGCTAATGGCTCCTAAGCGGCTAAGTGACTGCTGTACTGACTCACTGGTACCTGACTGGCCATCTGATCTGTTGACTGACGTGCTGACAGACTAACGACGGGCTAATTGACTGGTGACTGACGGTTAAGTGGTTGGCTGACTCACTGGTAGCTGACTAGCTTACTGGCTGGTTGTCTGACCCTAACCTGGAGACCGACTGGTTATTCACCAGCTAACTGACTGGCTGACTGACTGACTGACTGATTGGTTGACTGACTCACTGCTACCTGATTCGCTGACTGACCAGTCGCCTGACTGGTTGACTGACACACTGGTTCCTGAACAGTTGACTAACTGAGTCACTTACTGATTGACTGACTGAATGGGTTAACGGTTACTGACCGGCGACTGACTGACTCAGTGACTGGTTGACAGAGTCATCGGTACCTGAGTGCCTGTCTGACTGGTTAACTCACTCGTGACCGACTAGTCACTGACTGTCTAACTGACGACTGAGTGATAGGCTTACTGACTAATTGACTGACCCACTGGTACCTGACTGGCTGACTGACTGGTTGATTAACTGGTTGATTGACTGGTGACTCACCGGCTGACTGACTGCTTGATTGACTCAGTGGTATCTGACCGACTGACTGACAGGTTGACTGACTCACTGTTACTTGACTTGCCCCCTGAGTTTTTGACTGCCTTGCTGACCGACTGGTGACTGATTGGCTAACTGACTTGTAACTGACTGGTTGACTGACTCACTGGTACCTGAGCCGGAGATCA